TGCTCAGGGAACCATATGGGATGCTGGGAATCGAACCTGAGTCGGCTGCATGCAAGGCAAATGCCCTACCCGCTGAGCTACTGCTCCAGCCCCTGTTGGTACTCTTGTGAGTTCAGGGTGACATCCATGCTCATGGTTGTGTCCCCAAGAACCTAGCACTGCTTTTCTGCCCATAGTAGGTGCTCAGTAAATGCTTATAAGTAGGGAGAGGGCCATGTGAATCTTGCCATCCTTCATTAGGACCAGCTACAGAGTTTAGGGGACTCCATGCAAAAAAGGTGTAGAATCCCCAATTAAAATTTCAAAACTACCCATAACCTAAGGAGCAATGTGGGACACCCAGGCTGCACCCCTTCCCCCAGCCTGACCACACTTTTGCCCGGGAGCTGTGGTGGGGGGGCTTCTACCTGGCCACTCAGCTTCAGTGTGTGGGCAGGTCAGGAGATAGATCTGGACCCAGTGACAAACAGATCCCTCCCACATGAAGTTCCCCCCAGACACAGACCCCAGCCTCAAAGCAACTCTTTCCTCTCCATCCAGCTAGAAGTTCATCCCGCCCCTCCACCAAACCACCAACCAGGTCTCTGGGTGGTCTGGGCACATGTGGTCACATTTAGATGCTGATTGAAATAAAATTTTTATAAGATTAGGATATTTAAGGTGACTCTAATTTCCATGGCATTACTGAAAATTTTGAGGATAGGGCTAAGGTCCCCTAGGGGGATATGAAGGGAGTGGAGGGGCCTGTGGGGTCTTCATTGCCCTAGTCCCATGAGAGAGGCCTAGGGGCTTGGGGAAGGAAGGGCAGCTAGATGGGGGGAAGGACTTCCCTGGAACCCGAGCCCAGAGCTCATCCTCCAGCAGATGTGGAAAGTCAGGGGTGTGGCTGGGGGCTGGGTTCCCAAGGCACTAGTGGAGGAGGCTTTTACCAGCACAGAACCCCCTCCCCCAACCTTATGTGCGCCCTCAGGGCCACTCATCTGTGCAAACATCCCTTCCCTTAGCCTGCCAGACTGGAAGGTTCCACTAGGGCCTCCCTAGGTCCAACTTGGTGGAGTGGAGCCCAGAGAGAGTCTTCTTATTGGCATTTAGAGGTAGGAATTTGGAAGGATGTGAAGAGAGAGGGTTCGGGCACCGCTGGGCCTTAGGCTTACTTTCCCCGCAGGCCCCAGGCATGGGGGAAGGAGAAACCCGATGCCTACCTGGAGCCTTGTCCATCTTGCCCCTTCATAGTTGTGGTCATGCGGACACAATCATCTGGTCTCCAGACCTTCCATCTGCAAAGCGGGGACAAGAATTCCAGTCTCAGAGCCAGAGCGATAGTACAGCAGGGAGGATGTTGGCCTTGCACGCAGCTTGCCCGGGTTGGGATGCTGGCACTGCCTACATGCCACTGCCTACAACTCAGAGCTTGCCTGGAGTGATCCCTGAGTGCAGAGCCTGGAGAAAGCCCTGAGCATCACTAGATATGGTCAAAGAGAGAGCAGCAAGAAAGCAAGCAAGCAAGAAAGAATTCCAGTGTAGGGAGTGGGGCCATTGGCCTCTGAGATGAGTCAACCTGTGAGAAGTGCCCCTGAGAGCATGGGGCTCAGAGACCACCAGGGGGTGGCTGTTGTCAGTAGGGAAAGTTTGACCCCCTCTTGAGAAGGAATTTGAGGTTTGGAGAAAGGAGGTCACTTGCCCACTGTCACAGCGAGGCGCATCTGGGTCCAAACCTGGAGTGGCCTGACTTACCCGTCACGCACCTCAGGCTAGGCAGGAGGGTGGCAGCGGCCTGTCTAGGGGCTGCGCCTCAGAGGATTTGGAGGTGGCAGGAGCCAGAGAGAGTGCAGAGGAGGCCCTGAGCTGAGCACTCCTGTGGACCTTCAATATCCAGGAGTGAAGGGCGGTTTCTGTGCAGGAGCTGAGAAGATGTTGTCATGGGGTGATGCAGAGGGGAGAAGGGATGAGGGTTCTGAAGAAAGCCACGGAGAGCCACAGGTCACGGATCATAGCAGAGAACCCTTTGGAAACAGCTCAGGAGTTTCAATGCCTCCTTCAGCTACCTGCCCCTTATTTTTTGCTTTTGTTTTTTTGTACCACATCCAGTGATGCTTAGGGCTTACTCCTGGCCCTGCACTCAGGAATCAGTCCTGGTGGTACTCAGGGGACCATATGGGATGCCGGGGATTGAATCCGAGTTGGCTGTGTACAAGGCAATACCCGCTGTATTATTGCATTAGCCCCGTCCATCTGAGTTTTGATCTGTCCTCAGGTCTAGAACAGTCACTGTGCTGTCCCGCCCCCACGCCCCCCCCCAGTCCCCTGGGCCCCCCCACCCCCTCCGCAGTCCCTTGCAGCAAGTCTGTCCAGTCTACAGGACGACTGCTCTCTGGCTAGCTGGATTCTGGGTTGTTCCTTTTCTTTTCCTTTTTCCTTATTATTTTTTTAGGCTTTGGGACCACATTCGGCAGTGCTCAGGGCTTACTCCTGGCTCTGTACTCAGGGGTCACTCCTGGAGGTCCCTGGGGGATCATGGGCAGTTCTGGGGATCACATCTGGGTGGGCCACATACAAGACAAGCTCCGGACTCACTGTATTGTCTCTCTGGCTCATCTTTTTTGTTTGTTTGAGGATGGAACGCAGGACCTCACACAGGAGGAACTAGCTCTGACTGTTGTGGCTATGGGACATGAAATCCGAAAGGGCCAACAATTGTCCAAAGCTACAAAGCAGGCGACCCCAAGCAGAGCTGACCTACTGCTCTCTGGACCTTAGGGGAGCCAAACTGAAGGGGGACCCAGGATATGACTCAGCAGTCTTTGAAGGTGTTAGGCACTGGGTTCCATCCTCAGGCAGGACGGGGCGGGGGGGGAGAGTAGATGGGGGTGGGGGGGCAGGGCGGGAGGAGTGGGGGGGGAGGCATCTCCTGTCCCAGGGTTTGCTGGTTTGGGGGGGCAGTGGCAGCTGCAGGACCCTGGCAAGGCTGTACCAGCCTCTCAGGGAATGGGAGCTGAGGCCACTGGGGGGTTCAGCAAATCCTGGGGTCCACTGCACAGTAGCATAGGGCCCGTGTCCAGCTGAGAGCAGGAGCTGGAGCCAGCCCTAGGACTTTGCCTCCTGTTGGGGGTGGGGGAAGGAAGGGAGCTGTGCATGGTGTATACCACCCGGAGCTAGGCTCCAGGGTGAAGCAAGGATTGAGGAGAGAGAAGAATGGTCGGGGGGGGGGGGGGTGAGGGACTGAGGAGTGTGCACTGCCACGGGAGCCCACGGGACCCCTTCCAGCACAGAGACACAAGACCCTTGCCTGCTTGCTTCCCCCTTCTCCACAGAGCTCCCCACTTTTGTCTCCCAGAGGTGCTCAGTGGACCCTCACAATCAGCGATGAGGAAACTGAGGCACAGAGATCAGGCGCGTTGCTGAGCACGCTGAACCCAGACCACGGGTGGCTCACACTTGAATGTGGTAATTAGTACAGACGGCAGTGCCGGCGGCAGTGTGGCAAGGGCACACAGCTGCTGACCCCCACACCCGTGCTGTCCTGCTGTCCGTCTTCCTCAAGTGCGCACCCCCTCCCTGAACCCCACAGGGCCTGCGTTTCCCGCCAGCTCTGGGGGTAGGTAGCCCTCAGCCCTGCAGCCTGGCCCTTGTGCTCAGGTGTCCCACAACTTGCCTGCCCCCCTTCCCAGCCCGGCTCCTGCTGCTCTTGGGGCTGGCCCAGGCCAGCGGGCCAGACCCACCAACGCCTTGCAATGCAACCCCCTCATCTGGGGGCTAGGCTGGGAGTGGGCCCCAGCTCTGGAGGTGGGTGAGGGGGCGGAGTGGCGGGGCTGCTGTGTACCTTGGCAGGGGGACAACGAAGTGGGAGGCCTGGGAGGGCAGACCGTCGAGGGGGGAGGGGGGTGCCCAGACGAGGAGACAGGCAGCCTCAGGCTCTCCCTGCTCCTCCTCTAGAGCTGCCCAAGGCTGGGCTTCCTCACCCAGCACATGCATGCGCACACACACTCTCACACGTGTGCACACACAGTCATACATGCAATTACACAAGCACACTCACACATGTATACATAGGCACACCCGCACGTGTGCGTGCTCACACCCACACACACGCACATATAGTTACAGATGCGTTGGGGTCACCTCTCCTGACCCCTGTCTTTGCAGCCTGGTGCCAGCCTGGTACCAGCACCTGCCCACCACCCCCTGCCCACTGCTAATTCTAAAGGTTTTTCTGTTGTGACCCTCGACCCTGTGGTTCTCCTTGGCTTGCTTGAAACACTCTGCCTTTGCCCAGGGCCTGACTTGGGCTCCCCGTGCTCCCCTCTGCACCACCCCAAGTGACCACCACCACCTCTCTTCATCTTGGGCACAGAAATCCCCCTTCCCTCCAGGATCGTGAAGGGCCCACAAGAGGGGACAGCATCTCTCTCTCTCTCTCTCTCTCTCTCTCTCTCTCTCTCTCTCTCTCTCCTCTCTCCCTCCTGCCACATCCAAATCCTATTTGGTGGGATGTGGTTCAAATGGTAAAACACAAGCCCGACCCCACCAGCGGTCCCCCACAACTAATAACAAATATAAAACTCCCCAGTTCCCCTCGCCAGGACCCTTCCTTCCAGCCCCACCGGCCACCTCCTGAGAGCCCCCACCAGGACGATTCCAGAAGCTTCCTCACGGGCATCTCTGCCCCCTTTCGGAGCCCAGAAGGGGGCTCTCCGTTTCAGGGGGTCGGGGGCGCAGCAGCCTCCCGCGCCCCCCAGGGTCGGAGGCGCGGGGCTCCCCGCCTGGCCGCGAGCACTGGGCTCTCCCGCTCGTTCCCGAGGGTCGGCTGACGACCACCCCTGCTCCCTAGGCGGCCTCCCCCCGTCGTGGGGCCTGCCCAGGTGCGCGAGCGCGGGCGCGGCGGGTCCGAGCGGCGGGCGGGGCGCGGGCTTGGCCGGGGCAGTGGAAAGGGGCGGGGAGCCGCGCCCCGCCCCGCCGGCCCCCGGCCCGGCCCGCCCGCTCGGCAGCCGCGAGGGCGCGGGCAGAGCGACGCGGAGCCCCGAGGCCGGACGGCGCGCGCCTGCAGGTAACGGCGGGAGGCGGCCAGGGGCGCCCGGGCCGGGGTGGACGCTCGGGTGCGGGACCTTCCCCGCGCAAGGCCGTCGAGGAAGCCCCCAGCGGGAGAAGGAGCCGGTCCCCTCCGCTGCCACCTGCAAAGTGGGCACCGCCGGGCGACCCAGCTTCCTTCGAGGGTGCGGGAGAGGGGTGGGAGGGAGGGGGCGACAGCAGGAGGAGCCCGCAGTGTCGCCCACCCCGCGCCCCACCTCTGCCGGGCTGCTTTGCCGGCCTTCCAGGCTGTGCTCCAACCTGCCCCAGGTCCCTTCCATATCAGGGCATCTGGCTGCACCCCCCTGTTTGGAGACCGACCCGAGGAACGAACGGCCTTTGCCAGAGGCTGGCAGACCCGAAGGGCCTGTGGAGGGGCCTCAGAGGGAGGTCAGAGGGTCTCAGAAAAGACCCCCTCCCCAAACTCTCTGCTCTGGGGCTGGAGACCTGGGAGTTCCCTGGGAGAGGCTGAGTGGGGGTGCTGGGAGGCCCAAGTGTGTGCGTGTGTGTATGTGTCCATGCTTGTGTGTGTGTGTGCATGCACGGTGCATGCATATGTGTGTGTGCGTGTGTGTGCACATGTGCATGAGTTCATGTGTGCATGCGTGTGCATGAGTGTGTCTGTGTGTGTGCAGGTGTGCATGTGTGTGTGAATGAGTGTGTGTGTGTGTGTGTGTGTGTGTGCGTGTCCATCTGTGTACATCCCTGTGAGCCATTCAGGCAGTGTTCGTGGAATGTGAGGGCAGCGGCTCCCAGTTGCTACCCTGCACTGGTCAGTGTGTGCTCCGGAGATTTGCAGAGCCTCAGGTGCAGACTTGCCTGTGGCCTCCTCTGTGGTGCCTGGCAGTGCACTGGCCTCCCCACTGCTGCCTTCTGCGTCTCTTGCAGAAATCCCGAGTCCTCTCCATGGCTCAGGGAGCTGCCCGGGAGCTGCCAGGGTGAAGGGGTGGGGGGGGAATGAACAGGGGTGAGGCACTCCAGGGTCCCCCTGCAGGGACTAGAGGCAGGTCCTCATCCATTCTAGGGAGGAGGGGAGGGCCTGGGGGGGCATCTGGGGAGTTGATTGCCTCAGTCAGGGTGGGGAAGGCCCCATAGGGCCCTGCTGGGCCGGTGAACACTTGTGCACACTCGCTGTCCCTCCAATGGTAATGAGGATACACCCAGGTGGGCTCACAGCTCCACGGGCTCCCTGTCAGCCTCACAGAACACCCTGTACGTGCTCACACATGCACACACAATGCACACACAAGGCTTGCACGCACACAGAGGCTCACATGTGCAAGCACATCACACACTTGCCCAGGCACACGCGCACAGGCTTGCACGCACACGTGCAGACACATGTCAGGCCCCCACACCCGACCACTCCCACCGGCAGGAGGCCACACGGCTCACACGATCAGACACATGCACCACCGTCTCTGCCTACCCCCCGTGTGCGGGTGTGGTTCCACTTGGGTTCTGAGGACTAGGAAAGGAAATCTGGAAGTGAATGTGTCTGGGAGCAGGGGGATGGGCAAGTGGACCAGCTGAGGCCTCAGCCCAGGCACCCCGCCCCCACACCCTCATCCCGCCACAGCCCCACCAAAGGTAGAGGTTCCCTGCCCTGGGGGGTGGTGGAGGGGCTGAGTTGGGCTGGAGTGTCCAGGATGAATGAGAGCCTTGACAGGTATAGGGGTGAGCTGGGGGAGCACAGCTAGCAGCGGCAGCTCTGAGTAATGGCTGGACCCCTGCAGGACAGCCGGATGGACTCACTACTGCGCAGAGGTCTAATACCCAAGAGTATTGTCTAGAGGAAGGGTCGGAGCCTCAGAGGGCGGTAGCTCCTGCTGTTGCCTTTAGGGGGCAGGAAAAGTGAATTGGGAGGGACTGAGGGATAGTACAGCGGGTAGGGTGTTTGCCTTGCACACATCAGACCCGGGTTCAGTCCCCGGCATCTCATATGGTTCACCAAGCTCACCAGGAGTGCTCCCTGAGCACCACCATGTATGGCCCCAAAAGACAATCAACCCCCCAAAAAGGGAAGGGGTATTGGGCCACACCGAGCTGTGCTCAGGGGTGCTCTGGGACCCTGTGTGGTGCCAGGATTGGGCCAGGCTCGACCGAGAGCAAGGCAAGCGCTTTAATCCCCGAGCAGGCAGACCGAGTTGGAGGAGGAAGGTGATGGGAGCTGAGGGGGGTGTTTGTGGGGTGAGGGTGGGACACAGAGAGAGAGAATTGCTGGGAAGGGGCGAGCAGGCCAGGACTGGCTGGGAGGCTGGACTGAGGTGGCGGAGAGTGACCCTTGTGTCTGGGAGGCCTCGGATATGTACAGAGCTGGCTGTGGATGGCCATGTGTCATATGTGTGCGTGTATTCCATGCACAGAACTCAGCCAGGGAGTCATGCTTCCAGAGAGCAATCAACCCCCAGCTCTGCTCTGTGCTCCAGACACTTCCAGGGGAGGGCTGGGGGTGGACAGTGGCTCGAGTGGGCATCAACCAGGAGCCCAGTATCAGACCTGGGTTACCTTCCAAGTGACCCTTCCCTGTGCCGTAGTGTTTGTTCAGATTCTTGGGAAGTTTCAAATTGGGAGATGAGTGTCCCCAGCCCACGTGTATGGGCTTAGAGAGAGTCTGGGCTATTGGAGAGCAGAAAGGGGTGGCAGAGGGTTTGTGCCTCGGGGTGAGTCGTGCTGGCTTCTCTGGCCCATCTCAGGGGGGGAGTTTGGAGACTCGGAGGAGAACTTGCCCAGGGTGGCACAGCAGCCGGCAGCACAATGGCTGAGGCTCAGGCCTTCCTGCCTCCTAGAGGCCACTGTCCTCTGGTTGGGCATCAAGGAGGGAAGAGAGTGGAGGGAGAGCTCCTCTTCCCCTGCACTTCTCTGATTTCAACCTTCCTTCCCCCTCGGAGAGGGGTGGCCAGGACCAGAGGATGCTGGGCACCTTGGTATGTAGGCCCTACCTGCAGTGCCATTGAGTCCTTCTCTGATGCAACAAGGCTGGGCTCATTAGCCCATTTCACAGAGAGGGAAGCACAGGCCAGTGGGGGTGTAACCTGCCACATGTCACCTTGCTGGGGTCCAGCTGGTTTCACTTCCAGGTTCGTGAAGAGAGGCCGCTCCCATCCTTCTGGTTGTCCTCAGCTCTGTCCCCTCTGTGTGGTTTGGGGGGGCGGGGACAGTAGCCTCATTCTTCACGTCCACTGTATGGCAGCCATTTCCACAGCCCAAAGGGGCTTCGGGGTTGAGCGTGTCTGTGGAATGCAGAGACTACAGTCCCGAGAAAGTCAGGCCAAGAGAGAGCCCAGCCCAGTGGGGCCTGGGGGGCGGGGGCCCTGGTCTCCGCGGAGAGCCTGTGGTGGCCTTGCAAGGGGGCAGCCTCTGGCAGGAAGGGGCTGCCGTGCAGAGGTATCGATTCTGTCCCTGTCTGCGGTGTGACCGCAGGCGAGCTCCCCCCTGCGTCCCCGTCTTTCCGTCTCTGAGAGGGAGGAGACTGTGTGTGTGTGTGTGTGTGTGTGTGTGTGTGTGTGTGTGTGTGTCGGGGGGCGTCTGTCCCGAGAGGGTCCGGGACGCTGCCCCTGTGATGTCCACCCGCCGCATGCACAGGGGCGCCGGAAAAGCCTCAGTCTGGCCCGTCCCGCCCGTCGTGCGGGGGCCTCCCAGCCCAGCTCCCTCTGACAGGCGACCGTGGCTCGGCTCCTGGCAAGCATTCTTTTCATAGTTCCCGGAGCACAGCAAATCCGGCTGCTTAGCCGGGAATGTGGCGCTGCCTCCTGCAGTGGCAGCCGGGCGTGGGTGGGAGAGCGCCCGAGCCTGAGGATCAGGTAGAAGGGGCCACAGGGGGTGTGCAGGCCCCCCCACCAACACAACACACGCCTCAGCAGTTTGCTGAGGAACAGCGATCATCGTGGCAGATCAACGCAGGCCCAGCTTCTGGGCAGCAGCCCCTGGTTGGCAGGGAGGATTTGAGCACATGACTTCTCACCCTGTGCCTCGGTTTCTTGCTGGGTCCAGTGGGGCCTCAGGAGGCTTCGGGGAGGTGTCAGGGTGATGATGATTTGAACAGGAGTGGAGGGATGCTGAGGGCTGCTCTCTGCAAGCACCGTTTGCGGTGAGACCAGCTTGTTTACTCTCCAAAGGCTCCAGGAAGTGGCGCGTGTCCTCATTTTATTGGGGAAGCAGCTGGACACGGGCGAGCGCGGTCACATGCTCGGGAGAGGTCGGGCCGGGTGGACACTGCAGCTGCTGCCAGAGTGTTTCTTTACTCACCGGATTTTTTTTTTCTTTTGTCATTATTGTGGGAACTCACACCCACGGCCACAGCCAATGGTGCCAGGGATCCAACCCCGGGCCTTGCGTGTGTCAGGCATGTGCCCTACCACTTGAGCTGTTTCCCTAGTCCCCACCAGGGTTTCTGTTTGCTTGCTTTTGTTTGGGGGGCTGTCCCTGGCTCGTTCCTGGCAGTACAAGGGTTCCTGACAGACCCAAGGGTCATGTGGTGATGAGATGAAAGCTGGGCCTAAAAAAGTGAGTATCCAGCCCTATGAGCCCAGTCCTTCTGGGCTTATTTTTGGGGTTGGGGAGTTTGGGTTACGTACATTGGTGTTTTGGGGTTACTCCTGCCTCTGTGCTCAGGGCTTTTTCTAGTAGGACTTGGGGGACCAACCATAAACTGGACTGGACCAACCCCATGCAGAGCACCCTGGCCTTGTGCTGAATCTCCAGCCCCCACTGGAACTTTTTTGTTTTTGTTTGGTTTTGGACCCCACCCAACGGTGCTCAGGGCTTATTCCTGTCTGCCTCTGTGCACAGGGGTCATTCCTAGCGGGCTTGGGGGACCATATGAAGTGCTGGTAATCAAACATGGGTTGGCCATGTGCAAGGTAGGCACCCTACCTGCTGAACTATTGCTCCCACCCTGCCACTAGGATATTTTAAGCAAGAAACTTAGAGAGACCCCCCCCCAAACGCTCTCCCCACCACCGTCCCCTCCCCTGCTGC